GTTATGATCGTTCGCCTCAGGATATCATCGACATAGCCATACGAGAGGCTACGGCCTGGTTTTTAGCCAATGCACCAATCGAAGAGGATGCGATCAGGATTTTGACGTCGATACCCTCGACACTGTCGCCGGCCACATTCACGTGCTTCATCGATGGCTCGTGGAAAAGCGATGACCCTACAAGCGGGATTGGATGGATTTTGGAGCTACAGGATGGCGACATAGACCTACTAGGTTTAAGGGGTCTACGCAGGTGTTTATCACCCCTTCACTCAGAGCTTCATAGTCTGTATTGCGTAATGACAAGCTTAAAGAAGAAAGGAAGGTATTGTGCACTCTTTGCCACAGACTCACAGGAGTTAGTCAACATGATACAGGAGCCGGAGAGTTGGCCCCGCTTTCACTCAGAGCTGGAAGAGCTAAAGAACATTCGAGATTTCTTCCTAGACTTTACTATTCAGTATTGTCCAAGGGCCAAGAACAAAAAGACAAATTTTTTTGCCGGACACGCTCGATTACGATCTAGAGTTTTTTCTTACATTAGCACTGCCGTCCCTCACTGGTTTCCGGATACTATTGTATTCGGTTAGGGTAAGGAATGAAGTGCGTTCGTGACAAAAAAAAAAGTATGAGTTATGACAATAGTTTTATAATATAAATCAGTTTCAAATGGTTTTTAAAAAAGTCACTTTAGACAATATTGCAAATTTTTAGATAATTTCTTGATAAATTTGGTAAAACATTAAATATTTTTGAAATATTTAGGAGTAATTTTGAAAAATATAGAAAATAGAAGAAACGAATTATTTATGGACCAATGTATTGTAAATTTGTAATTGTGTTATACAGCCTTTCAAATACTTAATTTTATGTATATCCCCCGTTTATTTATCATGTTCTATTAAAGGGCCTATAAAAAGAGAAGAATGCGAAATCAGGACCAAAGTATTGAATGTTTTGCTAATCCTTGTTCATTTGTCTGGTTGTCAGTTATGGAGATAAATAAATATATTAAAATTGAATTTTTGTATTCATTACCTTTTTTCCCCAA